ACCTCTGGTTACGACTGGGCCGAAGGCAGAATTCCTAATTATAAAAGGTCAATCAAGAATTTAGCATCATCTCAAAGTACCCCCTCTCCTTTTCTCCAACCCAAAAAAATACAAAACTTTGATACAGCAATGTAGAGTCGATTATCAGATTGTTGGGTTCAACTACTTCGTGTGTGTGGAGAATGTTTGAGAACGGCTTTGGGTCGTGACGAGTTTTAAACATATTATTCAACAATTTGTTCAATAAAACAAACCAAGCTCAAGATTATGTTGGAACCCGGCTCATTTCATTTCTGAAATGAACTAACTTAGAATTTTCAAATCGGAATATATTGGGGACATGTGGGGTTGTAGCTATATCTGTCACTGTACATCCTATTTAATGACCCAAAAGTGATCCCACAGTTTTCAATTATTAAGGCATCGAATATTATGAGTGGCCCCCTTTTAATGCTTTTTGAGGAAACACAGAGGGCAGGTGAGTACATTTTGTCTATAGGGAGGGACATTGAAAATGGATGTATCTTAGTTTTGTTGTACGTCTAATCCTTACATGGCCTCACTGATTCTATATGTGATGAAGACCAACACATTGCAGAGCATCGAAATTGATCAATCAAAATAAAAATAATTATAAAATCATATCCCTGAGCATGTACGAATAAAACGGATTAGGCTCCTCTTCAATGTTTAAATAATTGGAGGTTGCTCCAATTTTCTTTAAATGGTGAAGATGTTTCTCCGACAAAACTATGAGTAGGCTATGGGGGCCATGGCTTTCCTTAAATTTTAAGAATTTTCATTGTCCTCATATTTTTAGAAAATTTAATTACTAACGTCTAATTTTTTAAAACACTTGATGTTTGAGTATTTCACTTAGTTAATTTAAAAATATCAATAACTTAATGTTAGTAACTATTTTAATATAATCATATGGATGAGTGTCACTTACACTGACGAAAACACTTGTTGAATTATTTTGATGATCGTAGACAAAAAGTAAGTGACTTTTTTTATAAAAAAAAAAAAATAGAGATACAAATATGATTTATATCAAAGTAGTTTTATTATGGTATCATATGAAACTTTTATTTGTGACCATAATTTATTTATAGACATAAGGTTACATTATAAACAAGAAAAAAAAGAGGATAATAATATTGTCATAACTGAATTTTTATGATGACATGATTCAATTTTTGAGTTTTGTGTTCAAAATTAATTTTTTCGATGATATTGCATAAAAATTAAATTTATTAGATTTTTTATAAAAAAGAATTTATTATTAACAATGACCGTTGAATAATCTCATTGAACTAAACTTTTTTCGATGTCATTATTGGTCCCCCTCAAGATAAAATCCTAATTCTGTCTGTATCTGTGAGCAAATCTTTTCTTATTTAAAACAAGTTTAAAATTTTAAACTATCAAATGAATTCGATATACTGATGTGGATGAATCCTTATTATTAAAACAGAATTGTAGGATCGTCTAATTATTTGAGAATTGGAGGAGAGCCTTCGGGTTCGAGTCCTCCACAATGGGCTAATTTTGGGGTTTATATATGTCCGTTGCACAAGTGCCTTTAAATTTGTAATGATAATAAATATATAACATGCTTTTAAGTTTATGAATCTTTGTTTTATTCCCTGTATTTTCAATATTTATACGCTCTATTACTTTGACCTTTACAACTCATCTTGGATGGAGATTCAGGTAGCCCTTTTCTCCACATATTGCCCTACATCTACATGGAACGAATCAAAGAAATAATATATATATATATATATATACACACACACACACATGTATGACAGCATAGCTTATACATGTGTAGATAGTCTATGGTGGATCATAACTATATACTATGATTGTTTTATAATACATTATAGTTGTTGCGAGTGTGTATCATTCAGTGTGTTATTTGGTGTACAAATGTATTTTTTGGACTCTTGACCGCAACTCACAGTTGGAATACACATTATCATATAAAAACACAGACACATGATGGTTAAGGAGAATTTTGAAGTTTGTCACTTAATTACTCAGATTCCTAATATTTGAAATATTATACACAGACCCCTTAAAGTTTATACATGTGTAACACTTAGATCTCTGTCATCGATGTCTCATTATTAAATTACACTTAGATCCCCTAAAATTTGAAGGCATATAATACTTAGACCTCTTAAGTTTAAAATATTATACTTAGACTAAAAATACTCCAATCAAAGATAGAATATCAAATATTTTAAATTTTACAACTAAAATTCATGTCTATTGTTTCATTTATTATAAAATTAAAAATAAAAATCTAATTTTTCTTAAAAAATTTTAGTTAGTATATAATTATACTATTTATTGGAATAAAACTGAAAAATAAAATAAGGAGTCTAAGTCATTCATAATAGAACATGAATTTTATAACCAAAATTCATGTTTTATTATGTCATTTATTGACATAAAATTAAAAAAAAATCAATTTTTTTCTTAAAAAATTATAATTAATATACAATTATACTATCTATTGGAATAAGACTAAAAAATTAAATAACAAGTCAAACTGTAATAAACACAATATCTTATAGCTTTAATTGAGGTAATTTGGTAGTTTAATTTGATCGTTTAAACAGTCAAATTAAATTCCAATAAATAACATAATTGTATACTAATTATAATTTTTTAAGAAAAAAATTAGATTTTTATTTTGATTTTATTTTAATAAATGAAATAATAGAACATGAATTCGGATTATAAAATTTAAAATATTTGATATTATATCTTTAATATGATTATTTTTTGTCTAAGTATAGCATTTTAAATTTGTGGGGTCTAAGTATTGCATACCTACAAACTTTAGGTGGTCTGGATATAATTTACTAACGGACATTGACGGCAAGGATCGAAGTGTGATGCACATACAAACTTTAAGGGATTTGTGTGTAATATTTTAAATATCAGGGGATCTCAGTAATTATGTGACAAACTTCAAGAAGTCTGAATGTAATTCTCCCAATGGTTAAGTATGAGTTATTTGCAGGTAAGAGAACCCGACTTCCAGAAATAAAATTTATGGGTTATATCACATAATTTATTGTTGATATATATACATACAAATATTGTGTGCAATTCAGTGTTTCTTTTTCAAGTTAAGCAATTCATAATTGACTTTGTGCATGTGTAGGAAAAATGACCATAACCAAAGTTAATTAATGAACATTCGAGAAGCAGTTCCCCAAGGTCTCTTGACTGGACATTTAAAAACTCTATCTTGCTTTGAATTTTGCTATTGAATGACCTCGTCTTTGAAATTCTCAGTGTACATGTTATCAACTTCATCATAAAATTATAATGTTTCTTGAGGAGGTTCAGATACCAATATTAAATATATGAAATTATTTTTAATTAGATTTGTGGTGTGAATTTGACTCACCAAACACAACTTTGAAAATGAATGGTTAATTGCTTTTTATCTTATATTGTTTCGGTTAGAAGTATCTTGCCTATTTTACATTTAAAATTATGCACATTATTCCGTTGTAGTTATTTATCAAAGTGAAATAATTATTTTTATCATCAAAATTAATGGGTAGTGTGTTCCACATGCCCAAAACATGTTGTGAGCTTTGTTTTCATTGTTTTCTTCCAAAAGAACAATGTCTAAGTGCGTAAAATACCAATTATAAGTATGGTATAATGACCAAATAGGTAGGACATCGGTTCCAGATCAAAAAACATGTAAGAAAAATATAAGTAATTTTCGGTCCTGGATCAAAATTAAAATGTGTTAGCTTGTTATTATGTTCTATTAGTTTTATGGTCAAGAGTAAATTAGATGAAAATCTGATTTTAAAATGTGAATATTATGGTAATTTTTTTAACTTTGTTAATGGCGTCAATTACTTCACTTTGGCATATAACTATAAAAAAGTAATTTGCATAATTTTAAACATCAAGGAGGTAAAGTGCTTCTAACCAAAATGATGAGGAGGTAAAAACAATTAATCCTAAAAATTAAAGATACCAACTTGGAAAATCTGGAGTTGAATAGTACATATCTTCTCCACTTTTCACCTTTTAGCCTCGAAGGGTTATGATTAGTCAAAAGTAAATAATTATGTAACATAATTCCAAGGATTAATTCAATGGCAAGAAATGTCTTAAACAAGAATATTTTATAATCACATTAGACTAAACTTTTTGACTATTCTCTAGGGGCTCATGCTTGTGTTGCGTGATAAATGTGAAACATGAAACTTCCACGGGCAATCCGAGAAATTTTGGGGCCTAAAGCAGAAATGATAAATGGGATTTTTTTATTAATAATATTAATAATAAATTTATTTTTTAATTTTTTTAAATACAAAAATACTAGTTAAACTTTTATATTCTAACTTTTGTTATCATATTTGAACTTGATAGTAAGTTTAAACTTGAATTTTTTAGGGGTTAAGACTAAATTTTTTAATAGCTTTAGTTTTACTATTATTTTTTTTCTTTTTTTCAAAAATAAATAAATTTATGGCCTTTTAATTTTATGACTGAATTAATAGGTTCAATCTACTTAAAGTTAAAATCTTTTGTTTGGGCATGGATTTAAACTTTTTATTTGAACTATTATTGCACACCTAAAAATTATGGGGTCTTTCTTGAAGTGAAGCCTTAAATTTTTTTTTCTTGGATTTCCGGTTTTATAAAACCTTTTTTTAAGAATGAAAGTATTTATGGCTTAATTTTTTTTTACATAGACTATTTATGATATCTAAAAATTTGAATGATTGAATGATGATTTTTGTAAATGATGGTTCAAAAGTAATGCAATCCTACTTCCTCATATCTCTGTCAATTGTTATTGGTCAAAAGTAATAGATAATTTGCCATTTTATTCCTCTCTTTTTTGACTAGATTTTTTTCTTGTTACAACTAGACCAAATAACAGTAAAGTGACCGGACGTGGCAGAAAGAAGTGTAGGCCATTTGTGGATAGCGGTAGGGAAAAAATGAAGAGGAAGAAGAATCGTAATCATCCTCCCTCCATTGATCCCTCCTCCAATGCAGTTGATCTCACCTCCAATCCAGTTGATCCCTCATTCAATGAAGCAAGTTCATCGCCATTTGTGAATAACAGTAGGGAAAAAATGAAGAGGAAGAAGAACTGTAATCATCCTCCCTCCATTGATCCCTCCTCCAATGCAGTTGATCCCACCTCCAATCTAGTTGATGCCTCCTTCAATGCAACAAGTTCATCCAACCCTATACCCAATCCAACAAGTTCATCCAACCCCATATCCAATGCAGACATATCTTTCTTCAACAAAAATTGCAAATATTGGTATGATAACTACTTTTATTATTGGCCTTTGTTATTGGAGAGGGGTGCTTTATTGGATCAACTAAAAGATGTGGGATGTGATGTCATTTTTGCTCTTCATCAATGCAATTTTGTAGTTTATATCAAGAAGCCAGATAAAGCATATAATACTTGGGGAAGATATTTTATGCAAACATGCATGATATTGATAGAGGAAATCACAAGTTTAAGTCCCTTGTTAGAAATGTAAGTTTTGAAGAAACCCCAAATTTTGTTTAAAAAATATTGGGAGTTCGCCGACCTTTCGTTCCTAACGATACACTTACCTACCCATTCAAGAATTCTAAGGACATACCTAATTTGGAAGATGTTTATGCGAAAATTGAGGGTATACCAAATAGTTTTGATGAAAGTGTTGACAATCCAATATTTTATCAGCAATACCTTACTCCCAAATATAGGATGTTAAACATAATAGTGCGGTACAATATTATTCCAAGAGGACATACTACTGATTTTGGAATTGATTAAACATATCTCCTTTATGCCATTGGAAAGGGTATATTATAGATCTACCATGTTTCATAGATGATGAAATTATTTCGGTACAAAATATCAAGGATAGGCGGCGAAGTCTCCCATCCCAATTTTGATTTCAAAGATTATGGAGGATTTGTGGACTTGTGATTCACTCAAGCGATGCTTATTCCACTCCCATGAATCCTAGTTATGGTGGGATAATAAAAAAGAGTTTGGGGCATGGGAAGAAGAAGAAAACTTAACAGTCACAAGTTGAAATCGAGAATGAAGTTGAAGCAGAGGATGAAGTTGAAGGCCAAGATGACCCAAATTCTTCCTCAGGTTGTGTTCCTCCATTGATTATAGTCGGACAATTGTTTGTACAAATGCTTGGAAAGATGGAGCAATTTCAAAAGATTCAAGATGAGATAGAGGAGTCTCTGAAGGTGATCGATAGTAGGATAAATAGAATTGAGTCTTTTTTTATGAAATGCAAAGAAATAGCTAGGAAGTGCCAATTATATGTAATTGTAGTTGTTGGTTGTTGATACAATAGTTGAACCAGCACTAGTGAAATGTAATGAAACAAATTAATGGAATATGATAATGTTTTGTCAAAAATCTAAAATATATTTGTTCTTTATATATAAAATGAGCTTGGTAATGGTTGTGATGAGCAAATGGTTGTGATGAGCGTGGTTGTGGTAATTTAGTAGTAAGATTATAAATTCTTACCCAATCGGTAGTAATTTTACCTCTAAGGTGTTAATTATACCCAAATAGTTGTGGTCTTACCCAATCAGTGGTAACGTTAGGGCAAAAATTGATAATATGGTGGTAATTTTATTAAAAATGTGGTAACTTGCTCCCAAAAGTGGTATTATTACCAATAGTTGTAATCTATTATCAGTAGCATAGCCAAATAAGTGTTTAACCTTAGCTACGAAGAGTGGTAATCTCACTAACATAAATAGTAACCTTATTCCAAAAATTGGTATTCTTACAAAATAAAAGTGATAATGTTACACCGAAAAAGTTGTATTCTTCCACCCAAAAAAGTTGTATTCTAAGCCCATACAAGTTGTATTCTAACCCAAAAAAATGGTAATGTTAACCAAAAAAGTGGTAATGTTTCACTCAAAAGTGGTAATCTTCACTAAAAAATGGTAATCTTATCCAAAATGGTGATAATCTTGCCTGAAATAAATGGTAACCTTATTCAAAAAAGTGGTATTCTTACAAAATAAAAGTGATAATGCTACACCCAAAAAGTTGTATTCTTACACCCAAAAAAGTTGTATTCTAAGCCCAAGCAAGTTGTATTCTAACCCAAAAAATGATAATGTTAACCAAAAAAGTGGTAATCTTCCCTAAAAATGGTAAGCTTACCCAAAAAAGTGATAATCTTGACTCAAATAATTGGTAATCTTACCAAAAAAATGTATGTTTACCAAATAAAATTGATAATGTTACACCCAAAAAAGTTGTATTCTAACAAAAAAAAGTGGCAATGTTAACCAAAAAGGTGGTGCTCTTACCTCAGTGGTAATCTTTCCCTCAAAAAGTGATAATCTTCCCTAAAAATTGGTAATCTAATCCAAAAAAAAAAGTGATAATATTGCCTCAAAAAATTGGTAATCTTACCAAAAAAAGTGGTATTCTTACCAAATGAAAGTGATAATGTTACACACAAAAAGTTACATTCTTACGCCCAAAAAAGTTGTATTCTAACAAAAAAAGTGGCACTCTTACCTCCACGGTGGTAATCTAGTCCTCAACAAATGATAACCTTACCCAAAAAAATAGTGATAATCTTGCCTCAAAAAGTGGTATTCTTACCAAATAACTCAAGTGACACTTATTCCACTCATATGAATCTGACAATAAAAAAGAGTTTGGGGCAAGGTAAGAAGAAGAAAACTTAGCAGCCACAAGTTAAAATCAAGAATGAAGTTGAAGCTGAGGATAAAGTTGAAGCCGAGGATGACCCAAATTCTTCCTCAAGTTGTGTTCCTCCATTGATTGTGGTCGGACAAATGTTTGTACAAATGCTCAAAAAGATGGGGCAATTTCAAAAGATTCAAGGTGAAATGAAGGAGTCTCTGAAGGTGATCAATACTAGGATGAATAAAATTGATTCTTTTTTTATGAAAAACAAAGAAATAGCTAGGAAGTAATAATTATATCACTAGAAGAAAAGGGGATTTTTGCATCAGCAATTTTCCGACTCAAAAGATCACATTGCCGTCGCAAAAAGTATTTGCGACGGCAATGTGATCTTTTGAGTCGGCAAATTGGGGGTGGTAAGCAATAGGCGATGCAAAAGATTTTACATCGGCAATTAACCGTCACAAAAGATTTTGAATCGGCAAAACCCGATGCAAATGCGCAATCGCAAAAACATCTTAGATCCGACAGTTGGAGACCGTTGCAAAAAACCCCATTTGCAACGGTTAAAATTTGTCACAAAAGATACTATTAGCCACAGTAGGAGACCGTCACAGCAAACCCATTTACAACGGTTTTAATCCGTTGCAAAAGATATTATTAGCCACAGCAAGGGACAGTCTCAACAAACCCATTAATGATAGTTTTTAACCGTCGCAAAGGATATTATTTGCCACGGTAGAAGGCCGACACAAAAACAATGATAGTACTCTTTTGATGTTATTTGCGTCAACAACTTGCTTTCATAAATATATTTTTAAAAAAAAACCTAATTCTCTCTTTCACATTTTTCTATACACCTGTTTACATATCTAATACATTACCCATAACATCATTTGATTAAAATAATAAGGCACATCTCTCAAAACAATAGCATCTAAATTTAAAAATAAAAATATATTTAGCATAAGTAAATAACATCCAAAATTTTAAAAACAAAATATTCCAAACTACGTAATGAAAGTGTCAATGCATAATAAAAAAATTTAGTCTCCCAATACACCATTTGCTCATTAATTATGCACAATGTGTACTCTCTACCCATGCATCATCTTCTCTCTACGCTATCTACTCATTTGATAACACCTACAAAAGATACAATTTGCGTTATTTTTGTCAATAATATGTTTGGTTGCTAATTATATACATATTAATTAAGATAAAACATACATCACTACATGGCCAAGCAACATTTTTTTCCACTGCCTGCCCAATAGTAATTACACAAGGAAAAAGTCTTATCAAATAAGTATTAGGAACTATTACTTCCTCAATATATACGTTCAAAAATTCAGGTCCCAATGGTACTCTCTCTACTTCTTTCGATGGGTCCACACTAACAAGGATCCCCTTCGCCACTACTTGCCTTGGTAAATGGGAACTAAGCAGGTCTACTTTTGTATGAACCTATAACCACAAGTGTTAACAATTTTTAGAAGCCAAAACAAATACAATTGAAAAAAAAATTATAATTGTAAATCTATGTATCACACATTGTCATACATTATGTTTACCATTCACATGCACTTATCTCAGTGTTGTTCAAACCTAGTGCATGTTTTCTTTTTTTTGTCCTAACAACATATGTCTACAAAAAAAAAAAAACAGGCAACACTACATTAGTCAGTATAAATAGCAATGTCAAAACTACATTAATTAGTATTCTAGTTTTTAGTTGAATTCTCTCGCCGGGGATCGTATCGAGATCACGTATTTTTCTACATTTTTTATAACCAAAGAGTAGGTATATGCCCGTGTTGCAAATTGAAAAACTAAGATGTTTTTTACAAACCTCTTCAAAAGACCATAGACATGGTGAGGGTGTTGGTAACTCTTGTTACATCTGTGTAGATGGTGTACATCCATCTTCGTGTGGCTCTCTGAGTGGCCTATGAGTACTAGATGCATCTGTCGTGTAAACTTACTTGAATATAATGTTTTTTTGATTATATTTCGTAATTTCTTTATAAATGTTCTTTCATTTATAATGACTCTGTCAGTCTTCAACCACCTGGGTCAGTTAATTCAAATAAATAGTCTATGATGACATGTTTTTGTGGTTGATATATTTGATTCCTGCCTCCCCCTTCTCCTTTTACAATTTTGATGCATTGTTAATATAAAAACTGATCTTGCAGTATATTTGTATCGAGTATCCAATGTTGTTTGAGCTTCGGAAAGTTGCTGCTGAGCGGGCTTCTCATTTTGGAGTTCTAGAGTTCATTGCAGCATAAGGCGTGATATATATGGATAAGAATCCAGAAGCATTTGTGTGTGGCTTTTGGTTCGTTAGATTGGTTATGTTGTCAGGAATTAGAAAATCATCTAGGATTGTATTGTATGTGTATTTTTAGATTATTGATTTATAATCTTCACAATCTCAAGGATGTTATCACTTGGAACTTATGGTTTTTTGCCAAATTAAAATATTTAGTCCTTTTTGTATGATAGGAACTGTGTAGGAGGCGTTAAGAAACTAAAGCAAAATGAACAAAATAGAAGAGCAATCATGCGAAGAGACAAAGTAAACCAGATAGCAAGGTTCATACATAAACAAATACACAACATGGCAGATGCATGGTACTGTATTTTATTTTCTTAAATTAGTGTATCATGTATCGTAACGCATACATGTATCTGTATAAGTGTCTAGTGTTTGTATATATATAGTTCCAAAATGATATAGATATTTCAACTTAAATTCCATACTAGATTAAAAAAGACCACCAACTTTCAAAACAAAATTTAACAATTCAAGTTTTCAATGTAATTGATCAATATCCGAATTTAAACAATAGAAAAATTCAAAATAATCAATTCTTATAGTCCTATGAACCACATTTTCATCTTGATCCTCAATTTCAATGGCTTCGATATCTTCATAATCGGATGCTAACAAGTCATCTATCTTTTTCAACATTTTATGTCTCCTTCCGCTTCATTATTTTTTTCAACTACTTGCTTTCCTTTCTTTTCTTATTTGACAAAATATTTATAGGCCCAGAAAGAGAATATAAATTATATAAAATATTAATATGATTTAAAGAGTCAATAAGTTAAAAACTCTATATAAAAATCATATAGGACATTTATCTTTCCTTCTCTTTTTGTTATTTTCTCCTTTTTGAACCTATACGGGTGTATCGATCAGCATCATGTATTGCAAAATAAAATGATACACTTATATGAAATGTACCATTCTATTTCTATATTAACATGTA